GCCTCACTTTTGCTATTGGAGCCGTCCCACTCCTCTAGCTCTGACTCGCCTTCCCTGACCACGTAAGGCTCGAGGGGGAAAGATCTGCATGTGAGGAAGGCGGCCTCTGAGAGAAGTGGGAACTAGAAACAGGAAGAGCGTCCGGCCTCCTGCTGGGAGACCATCGCGCCCGACCGTGGTGCCTGGCCGTGCGCCACGGGCTCTGTGCCCTTGTATAACGTATCGCGGGAGGTGGCGTGTCCTGGGCCCTGGCACTTGCCGTCTCCTGCGGTGATAACATGGGCCACGTGTTCCTCTAGGCCCCGTGGGGTGCCCGCTCCCCGCCAGGCGCTGCTGGGCACGGGCCGTACACGCCCCCCAGGGCTCTGGGCCGGCTCCAGACTCCCCTCCCCAGCTGCCCAGGTTGCGCCTGGTGCGTTCAGTCCCTTCTTCCCCTGAGCTCATTCAATGACAAGCCCCACACACACCCCTAACAGCTGGAATGTTGGCCCAGAATCCAGAGTGACCTTGACAATTTGCAGGCCTAATTCTCTAAGGGAGGCTGCGGTTCACTGGGCCAAGGTTAAGTCCACCTGGGCAGGCTGCTATAGAGGAGAGAAGAAACAGTGGTGGGACACCCCCCCGAGGGTTATGGGGGCTCCACCAACCACACACAAGTGGGAATCTAAGCCAAGGCCAACAGCCAGCCCCCCATCAGGCTGGTACCCCCAGGCGGCATTCGCTTTGGTTCTCCATCCACGTTTCAAAAAAGAGCAGAGCCCATCAGTGAGGAGAGAGAATCCCTGATCAGCTGCCTCCTGCACACCCCACCCTGGGGATCGAGCCCGAAATCCGGGCCTGTGTCCTGACCGGGAGTCCAACCGTGACCTCCTGGTTCATAGGTCGGCGCTCCACCACTGAGCCACGCCGGCCGGGCGCATGCCCTGTGTCGTATACTGTGGCCCGGGCCCCCCGCCCTGGGCCCGCCGCATCTGGGGTTCCTTGCGGTGTGAGGGGGTGAGACGCCGCGGCAGGCTCCCCGACCCTGGGACTGCCCGCCCCATCGCCACTGCCGGCACCGTGCCCCGTGAAAACGCGCCTTTTTTCTTGGCAGAACCTGAAAGCCAGAAGCAACAAGGATGCCAAGGACCAGATGACCAAGTACTCCCTGGAAAGTGAGTTCCCGTGCCCAGGCCTCTTCGTGCCCCTGAGGGGGCGGCCGCTGCGAGCAGACGGGGCATTTGCTGGGGGAGCGAAGGTGGTGCCCGCCGGTCGCCCTCTGGACTCCCCGCAGTGGTGTCGGGATGAGGACAGAGCAGCGGGGCCTGGCAGGGCGGGGAAGGAAGAGGGCAGGACAGCTTGCCACCAGCAGTCACAAACAGGAAAAATGGTGGACGTGAGCAGATACCCACAAACCAGGCGTTGCCTGGCGTTAAAAATGTCATGCTGGCCCCAGGAGCCCCAGGAGCCCCTGCTTTCAGACGACAAAACACGTTTGGGACAAATGTCACCCACGCAGAACCCAGGCCCCGAGAGCCTCCTCTCTCTCTGGGGGAAAGTGTGTTGGGAGAGAGGGGCCACTTCTCCCTCCCTGTTGCTAGGGCAGCGGGAGGTCATACTCGCAGGGGACAGCAGGGGTGCCTCTGCTGCCCAGAGCTTCCCCCTGCTCAGCCTCGGTCTCCCTGTCTGTGAAATGGGGACAGCGATGCGCCCTGCACACAGGCCGCGGGAGGCGCGGGCGGAGAGGCACTGGTGTGTGTATCGGGACACATCGCAGCATCTGAGCCTCCGGGGACGGGGGCGGGGTGCTCACCATGGGAAGCGGGGCCCTGTGTCCACCGGTAAAGACGAGAGCCATGGCAGCCCCTGAGTTGGCTCCTGCCGTTCTCACGATCAGGCCTCCAAACTGTGCAAGAGAGAGTGGCATGCAGGTGGTTGGCTCCCGGGGGGCCCTGGCCTGGAGAGCAGGTCTCCCGCCAGGGTGGGGACCCTCGCTGGCCCGTCCTCACGGGGTGCTGGCGGGCTCCCCAACCCCAGGGGGACACTAAGCAGCTTAGCGGTTGTCGCTGAGTCA